AACATGCTAAAAAGGTTATCTCAACGTACTAGTTTTGAAGTTACAGACCAAAAATTAAAAAGAAAAGTATTTTTTTAACAAAAAAAATTATATTATTATTTTTTTGACAAATTTCCTGCTTGATATCGTAGGTTTTTTTAATTTTTGTTGCTAGTTAATCTTTCTAACTTTCAAATAAAACTACTTTGAAAAAAATACACCGTTTACTTAAAGAGAAAATAATTTAAAACCGAAGGATGGGAATTTTAACAAAAAAAAAAAAAAAAAAAATTCAAATGCTTTTATTTTTTAAACAGTTTACATCAAAAATTATTTTTTCGATTTTTTACCGATAATTTTTTATCTAGTATCCGCACATTTCGTTTGATCAAGTGTAAAATTAACACATTGTATAAAAGAATACAATTTTCATACAATAATTACTTTACAATTTTACATTAATTAATTTCTACATTCTAAATCTATGTTAACTCTCGCTATTCGTTCGGTGCCTTTATTGGGAGAGTTATTACATAGTTACAATACTATTTATTAAAATACAAAGCTATATTTTTCAATATTCTTGTTACGGCTTTTCCCGCGTTGCTGTGTGCAACCACCGCTAGTTGTTGAACCGTGAGCGCGGCCCGACGATCGTAACACCCTCATGGCTCCGCCCACCGCCCCTAGGTTGTTCAACTAGCGTTGGTTACGACAAGCATTTAGTAAGTATTCGTTCGACGTATCACTTTGTTAGCGTCGTGCACAATATGCAATAATGTAATACTGTTTATGTCAAATGTCAACAAAAGCAAAATCAACTGAAGATCTGACAGCACAGAGTGTTTTCTTTTATAATTGGCTTTACAGCTCTGGGTTCTAGCCATTCTTAGCCTGAAGTTACAGCGTATAATAATTATCATTCATCGTACACTGCTTCACAATAATATTAATCTTGTCTGTCGAAGATTAATAATTTTGTATTCCTTTTTGTATTGCACCTACTTGCTGCATTGTTAGCAACTTTTTTTTTTTGCTTTTTTTGTGTCACACTGTAAAAATATTTTAAGGTTTTTTTTTTGCAATACTGTTTACAACTGGTTAATTTCGTTGGTAAATAATTCCATTAAATTATCTTGTTAATTAAGTCACTAAACAACCTAGATTAACCTTTCAACTTCTGTGGTCTTGTTATGCCTGATTAAGTAGTCTTAGTTTGTGTAGATTACCTTTTGTTATTATTATTATCTTTGTATATTTTATTCATTATGCTTTTTGCAATCAGTCAACTGTTGGGTGATATATTTGAATTGAGTCGTATTTTTATTAGTTAGTTTAAGTAATTTATATTCTGTGTTATATAAGTATTTTTTAACATATTATTTTATATTTATCATATACATATTATTATTATGTCAGCTACGTCGGATGATGAATCTTTTTATTCTGCACATGATTCAGATGTCTCGTTCGAGTCTTGTAATTATACTAATAGCTTGCCCTCCCTCCGCGATGATCTTATTAATTTACTTACTCCTTGTAAAATTTTTCTAAATGTATGTCATGTTAATGCTCAGAGCATACCGGTTCATTACTCTTATTTTGAAGAAGTTTTTTCTATAGATTGTGTTCATGCAATCTTAGTATCAGAAAGTTGGCTAAAGCCTTCATTAATGTCCAGCATGTATCCCTTAAATAACTTTGTTCTTGTGCGTAACGACCGGACTGAAAAAGGAGGTGGAGGTGTCGCCATATACCTGAGAGCAAATATTCCTTATAAAACAATTTTAGCTTCACCATCTCCTTATTCTGCCTCATTGGAGTTTCTGTTTCTGGAAATCGATATCAAAGGTGTAAAGGCAATTCTTGGGGTAGTATACTGTCCACCTGCTATTAACTTTTTCAGCGCTTTTGAAAGCGCTCTCTCTACCATTTCATCTGAGTACACGCACTGCATAGTAATGGGTGATTTCAATACTGATTTGTTGAGAAATTCTTCTCGTTCTCAAAAATTTCGGTCAGTCATAGAGTCAGTCGATCTCCACATTCTCCCCTTAGAGGCAACTCACCACAACATTGACACTGATGACTCATGGATTGATCATATTATCACAGCTTCTCCCGATTATGTTATTAAGCACGGACAACTATCGGCTCCTGCTTTTTCTCGACATGACCTTACTTATTTATCATATAAGCTTGTTTCTCCTAACCACAATCCCGCAGTACTATATATTCGTAATTTCGTTAAAATGGATTCTGATAAACTTAAAAGTGACGCATATCGTATGAACTTAACCCCTTTTTTTTAAATAAAACTAATTTTACGGATTTTATCGCGTATATTAACTTATTTTTATATTCCCGACGTTTCGGGTGCTTTCCAGCACCCGTGGTCACGGGGGAACTTAACCCCTGTTTTTAAAATCAACTTCTATTGACGATAAAGTCTCCGTGCTTAATAATATAGTTCTTAGTCTGTACAAAAATCATGCTCCTAAACATCGAGTAAGAGTAAAGCGTCCACCAGCCCCGTGGATGACTAGGGCCGTAAAGGTGGCAATGACCAGGCGAGATCGAGCATTTGTCAAATTTAAGAAGCATCGTACTCTAGAGAGCTGGGATTGCTACAAAATGCTGAGAAACAGATGCAATCAGATGGTACGAAATGCTAAACACCGTTATATCCATAGAAATATTACAAATTCTTCGACCGCCGATGTGTGGAAATTTCTTAAAACACTTGGTATTAGTAAGGCTGTTACATCTGATCATGGTCCATCAATCACTCTGGATGAAATAAATCATCATTTTATCTCTACTCCTCCTTTGGATCCCACAGTTCGTTCTACAACAATAGCTTCCATTCAATCCATGCCTTCTCCTCCTATTCCTTTTTTTCACTTTTTACCTGTGACTGAAGATGAGATTCAGAAATCAGTATTAGCTATTAAATCCAAGGCTGTGGGTTGCGATGAGGTTAGTAAGGTTATGATATCCATGATCCTTGAGTGCCTTTTGCCTGCAATCACACATATCGTAAACTTTTCCCTTGACTCAGGACAATATCCTACTCAGTGGAAAAAAGCATTTGTGCGACCACTTCCTAAAATACCCAATCCCTTATTACCTACCTATTTTAGACCAATTTCAATTTTGCCGTACCTATCTAAAGTTCTGGAAGCCTGTGTTCACAAGCAAATCTCTATGTTCATAACCAAACATAACCTGCTGAATAAATATCAGTCAGGCTTTCGAGCAGGTCATAGTACTACCACTGCCTTGATAAAAGTCACAGATGACATTCGAATGGGAATGGATGAGCAGAAGCTTACAGTAGTAGTACTTGTTGATTTTTCAAATGCTTTTAACACAGTCGACCACGATATCCTTATAGCCTTCCTAGCTAATCTTAGATTCTCAATCCCAGCTTTGGAATGGTTTTCATCCTATCTTCGCGGCCGCCAGCAATCAGTTCGATTAGGACAACAGTCTTCAACATGGGCTGACATTGAAACAGGCGTACCGCAAGGCGGAATACTTTCTCCTATAATGTTTCCTCTATTTATAAATTCTATTACTTCAGTTCTCAACTGTTCGTGCAGATGATCTTCAGCTCTATGTGCAATCTAGTGTTAATGACCTTAACCATAATATTCACAAAATCAACCACAACCTTGATGCCATAAGAGATTGGTCGTACAGACATGGTGTTTCGGTTAACCCTTCCAAATGTAAGGTAATGGTTATAGGTAGTAGCAGAATATTAGCCAAGATTAATAACAATGATCTTTCTCCCGTATTTTACAATGGAACATTGCTGCCATTTTGTAAATCTGTTAAAAATCTTGGCTTACATATAGACCATACCTTGAGCTGGGGAGTTCAAGTTGCTGAAATAAGCCGTAAAGTTACTGCCACCTTACGATCTCTTTGCCGACTCAAAAACTTTCTGCCTTTTAAAACTAAACTTCTACTTGTCCAGACTTTGATATTACCCATTATTGATTATGCGGATGTGTGTTACCCAGATCTATCTCAATATCTTCTCGATAAGTTGGAGCGCCTTCTCAACAATTGCATTAGGTTCATTTTCGGCTTACGTAAGTATGACCGTGTTTCTCAGTACCGTTCTAAGCTTAAATGGCTTTCTATTCGTCAAAGGCGTAGCTCCCGAATTTTACAAGTACTATATTCAATTTTAAATGACCCAAATTCTCCTTCTTATCTTAAGGATAACTTTCAGTACCAATATTCTACTCATGATAGAGTTCCCCGTTCCCAAAATAGTCTTAAAATTCGTATTCCACCACATAAGAGTGGTTTCTTTAATTCCTCTTTTATTGTGCAGTCCATACTGCTCTGGAATGCCTTGCCTGTTCATATAAAAAAACCCAGTAACAAACAATATTTTAAAAGACTTTTCGAGAATTCTTTAACAGGAATAATACCACCTGATTTATCCGATTTTTGTTTTTCTCACTCTTTCGCTTTGTAATTGATATTTTGTATAATATTTATTTTAATATGCATCATGTTATTTTATTTTTGTGTTATATTATTTTATATTTATTTAGAGATTTTGTATTTATATGTATTATCCGTTTATATATTTTGTTTATATACATAAGTATATTATATCCGTTTATATGTTGTATATATAAGTATATTTTATCCGTTTATATATTTACTATTAATTTTTTTTCTGTTTATTACAAAGTAGATAATATTAAGTTTGTATAGTTTAAAAATATTTTATTTATTTATTTGCTTTTTGTTATAAGATATAATGTTTTTACCTATTTATTAATTAATGAGTGGTGTTGCACCTACCACAGCTTCTCAAATCATCCAAGGTTGACTGGTAGAGAATGCCACAAGGCATTAAGTCCGCCCTTTATATCCCTTATTATAAGGTAGATGTAAAAAAGAATAAATAAATAAAGAAGATTTTATCATTTTTCTCGCTAGCGGAATATCATCATTGTCCTCCTTTAGTGATTGAGAGAGATCTTTAAAACCTTTGTGGCGAAAGCAATTCGCTATGGTGGTCTGTGTGACCTTTTCCCAAGCTTCCGATATCATTAGAATTGCATCTAGAACGCTCAGAGTTTTTGTATCTTCGCCGTTTTCAATATTATGAAGCATTTGGAGTACTTGAAGTTTTCTGTACTGTGGTTTTTAAAGATTTTATCACTCCTTGGTCCATGGGTTGTAATACAGAGGTGACATTGGGCGGTAAAAAAAAAACAAGTTTTATGCATTTTAGATTGAGGACTACAGGTTGAGCAGGACTGTTGTCTACTAGGAGAAGAATTTTGTTTCCTCTAGATTTCAATTCTGCATCCCAGTTTCGCAGCCATTTTTCAAAAATAAGCAATGTCATCCAGGATCTAGTGTTGTTTTCATATTATGTATGTTCAACCAGTGTATGTTCTTAAAGCAACGCGGGTTTTTAGCTTTTCCTATCACTAATAGTTTTTTTTTACACGATCCAGTCATGTTCGCAGCAACCAACACTGTAATTCTGGTTTTAGACAATTTCCCACCCTTGCATTGCTCACCTTTGAATTTTAGTGTTTTGTCAGGGGTTAAATTAAAAAACAATCCGGTTTCATCCGCATTAAAGATTTCTTCTGGTTTGTATCCTTCACACAGTGTAGGCCACTTATGAGAGAGCCACTCTTCAGTCACACCTTCAGGAACGCCAGCCGCTTCACCACAAACTTTTCCAGCCACAATATTATGACGAGCACGAAAACGTTGTACCCAAGACGACGAGCACTTGCAATTTTCCTTCCCCATAAGCCGAGCGAAGTCGTTGGCTTTTTGTTACAGGATCGGACCACTTATTGGGACGTTATTTGCCCACTGATGTTTAAACCATGTTAATAAAGCCTCTTCCATAACTTTATGTTCAGATGTCCTCGATCGTTTAATTTTCAAAGAATTTTCCTCGAAAAGAGCTTTTATTTTATCTCTATTCTTCCTAATCGTTGATATTGTAGACTGTGAGACTCCACATTCTTTTGCAATTTCATTATTTGACTCGCCATTTTGCAACCTCCATATAACGTGTGACTTTTCGTCAATACTAAACACTTTCCTCTGTTTTTGTGACATGGTAAAACGAAAACAACACAATTAAAATCAAAACTTTCAATTCAACCTTTGATTCACGCTGTTAACTATCGCGCTAAATAAGTCGTGGAACATGCAAGGACAAATGGCAAAGAGCGCGCAAGAGGTTCGGGGTGGGAGAAAGTGCATAGGCAATAATATGTTAAAATGTTCCTTCATAGATTAGAATAAGTTTGAAAATTGTTCGTATTGTTTTATTTTACAAGCACAACGGTTGGTCGTTATAGCCGATGAATTCGATAAAGTTCCGTCGTTCTAAAAGGCTTATTACATTACACGATTTATCGGGCCCTGTCCATCGTGTGCCCTGCCTACCAGACAGGGCGCTGCTTATTACACTACGCTAGAAATCGCTTCCTGCCTCAGTCGTTACTCGAACGTGGAAATGATTGCACGTCTAGCATTATGGCGCAGACTTTATCTAAACGTCAAAAAATTGCTTTATTGTTTTTTTTACACGTGGTAGAGCCATGCTATAGCTATATTAGTAGTATAGTTGTAGCACGAATGGGTCGGCTCGACCGGGGAAGGACAACGCTCTCACAGAATACCAGCGTAAAATAGCAGCTTAACACTGCTGTGTTTCGTATGAGACGCTTTTTACTGGAAAAGAGGCATTCCATCTCAGTCCTCACGGGTGACAACGCATCTGCATTTTGATTCGCATACGAGGATAAATGTAGGTGTCTATGGGCCACAGCAACCACTTACCATCGGGTGGACTGTGTGTTCGTTTGTCAGCCTATCCTATAAAAAATAAACTTTGGCTGGCGGTAATGTGCAAGGCCAAGCTAAAAAAGGAAGGAAAGTTAAATGTGGATGAAAAAATATTTGCTCCTCAGAGAAAAACTATCGAATATGCAAATAGTCAGCGTTTTGGACCCAACAGACCGACGAAACTATTTTAAAGAGTAGGTGAAAACCAATTCGACGAGTTATTAAGCTTAGTAACGCCTTTAATAGAAAAAAAAAATACTTTAATAATTTCTTATATTTACGCGAACACTACACATTGAATAAAACTACTTGTATGGATTCTATCGCGTTTAATTTTTTTTTATTAATTCCCGACATTTCGGATGCTTTACAGCAACCAGTCCCCCGTGACCATGGGTGGTAAAGCACCGGAAACGTCGGGAATTAATAAAAAAAAAAATTAAACGCGATAAAATCCGTAAAAGAAGTTTTATTCAAAAGAATACTTTTTTAAGAGAGATTGGTTGTCACTTTACGATTTTGGCCACTGGAAACTCCTATCAAGATTTGATAAGGCATTTCTTTGTAGATGTCGATAACATTGAGAAGGATCTTTTTCTTTAGCGCATGACAAAAATACGAGTAATGATTTAGAGAGTAGATCGACATAGTAGAACTTTAAATAAACAAACGTGTAGACTCCGCGCATGCGGCCACGCAACTGAGCTCCCTGCCTCCCTGTCTCTTATTACACTACACGATCCACAGCGCGGCAGTGAAGCAGGGCGGTCGGAACCACTCGGTCGCCCTGTTTAGGGACCCTGACTTCCTGTTTCTTATTACACTACCCTGTCCCTGCGGGCAGGGCCCGAGAAATCGTGTAATGTAATAAGCCTTTAAGCGATATGTCGCTGTATCCGATGTTGTTATAGGCGGTATGTTTACATAACTGTTTATTAGGGATTCGGCCGGGACCATTCGGTCGTAATAATCGATTCGTCGTTATAAACGATGTCCTTATATTCGGTTTCGACTGTATTTAATATGACTGAATTGTCAACCGACTTGAAAACAAGGAGGAGGTTCTCAATTTGGCTGTATTTTTTAATGTGTGTTCCCTCAGAGCTTTATTCTGGGTGAACCGATTTTGATGATTCATTTTTTTATTTAAAAGCTGGTGCTTCTCTTGTGGTACCATATAAATTTGATTAAGATCTGACCAGTAGCTTTTTAGTTATTTTTAATAATGCCTATTTGACTTTGACTACATTGATGATGTTCTCATTTTATTTATATTCAAGTCAATTGTACATTTTTTTTAATTACTACCTGTCGTCTATAAGTATTTTATGTCAAAAAAATCCTGTTGGATTTTGTTGGTTCTTTTCAGGATGGAGGTATTTTCTGAACCAATATTAAATATGTAATAATAATAATAAAAAAACCGGACAAGTGCGAATCGGCTTCACGCATGAAGGGTTCCGTATCATTGTAAAACACGTTTCTAGTAGGGGAGCCCCTTTAATTTTTAATTTATTTTAATTTTTATTATTTCTTATTGCAGCAACAGAAATACCCACTCTGTGAAAATTTCAACCGTCAACCTATTACGGAGCATAAGATACAGCCTGCCTGCAATGCTGTGTTCTGCCTTCAGGCCAGAGTATAGGATATAGGGAGTCTGTATTAAACATGTGTCATTCATTCATTTCTAGTGATTGTATGGATCATTCTGGCCAATCATTCAAATGGATCATTTTGAGTTTCAGTACTCTGTGATCAAGGACCAGGATCTACGGATCCTGTCGATCGTTTGATCTGCAACATTAAAAAAATGTAATTGCAATCATCAATACTTTGATGCGACCCGGGTCAAATGAACGAACCTTTTACGATTGACACATGTCTAGCCAGTGTAATTGCAGGCTGTGAGGCATACCTGGTTTCTGGCAGGCGCCAGTGGCAGGGTTGGCTGATTTATATCAGACTGATTTAAATCATGATTTAAATCACGATTTAAATCGCTTGATTTTGATTAAAAAAAATCATTGATTTAAATCAACATGTATAAATTAATGCAATATGCAGAAAATGAAATAAAACTGGCTTAAAATAAAGTAAAAATCTTTTATTGTTTTATGTTATTCTTATTATTCCACTACAATAGTCTCATAAACTTTGGAAAATCAACAAAGACGTAGCAATGAGGTCTGTCAGTCTCATAAACTTAGTAAAATCAACCAAAATTTTTTTTTTAAATTCACCCTAAAGATATGAACTGTAATTAATACAGTACTAATTATTTTACTCTTAATCAGTCTCATACATATGTATTCATAAACTTTTATCCTACTATGTCAAAAAGTGTGACCAACTCGTGAATTTCAAAATATACAAAAAAATAAAAAAAATAAAAAAAATCAGAAAAGTCATGATTTTTTAAAAAAAATCATGATTTTTTCCATTCCTGGCCTTCCATTGGCCTTCCTGGCCTGGCATTCCTTGTTTAAAGTGCAGATTTCCATGGACTGCTGTAGCCACCTAACATTAGTTTGACTGTAAGTTCATTTGTCACTTCAGTTTTTAACCCCCGATGAACCGAGGGGTGTTATATGCTTGTAGTGTGTATCTGTGTGTCTGTCTGTCGCATCCTAGCTCCTGAACGGATGATTCAATTTAGATAAAGTTGTTTTCGTTTGAAAGGTGTCTTAATCGAGAGTGTTCCTAGCTATGTTTCAAGAAAATCTGTACAGCTTTTTGTTTGGAAGATCATCAGCTCTTCTTGTTTCGGGGTTTTTTTTTAATTTTTAATTTTAGTTATATAAAAAATAAATAAATATAGAAAATTAATATTTTAACAAAGTCAAGTTTCTTTCAGAAACGGTGCTCCTCACCAGGTCCAACTTGAGTGAAATGCTGTACCCAAACCATGAGGTATACGCTGTGAACGGCTTCTCATATCGATGCGCGCAAAATGTGACTTTCTCTAGCATCAACGACACACAGCAGTACTCACTAACTTTTATGGATATGAAGGTAAGTTTTGTTGGTCTAAGGTCTTTGTTGACATGTGTAACCCTGGCACTACACCGCGCAATTGCACTAACTTAGTCCACTGCGCCGGATGTGTTAACTCAATTCTTCAAATGTGTTGGCGCACAGTGCAGAACCAAGAAATTCGAAAGGTGCTAAGATGTTGAGCTCCGTAATTATGAAAAAACAAAAAAAAAAACAACGATCTCATTCCTTCTCTCTCTCACTCACTCGCTGAGTGAACAATGAGCCAACACAGTTCGCGCGCTGTGCGCTGTATGTGCTAAGTGCTCTGTGAGCGCGGAGTGCAAATGGTGCACGTTTTGCTCCTCACTTGGCGAGTTCCATTTTGTTGCACCATGGTAATTTTGAGTTAACACAATGAGCCAGTGCAGTAAATTACGCCTGACTTACTGAGTTAACGCAAGGAATTTTTCTGAGTTACCCCATGTCTAGGTGTTTTCTTATTATGCCGGACGGGCGTAACTCTCCGGAGTAAATGTTGTCGAAGATACTCCGCGAGCCGCTCACGTCCTACACCTATAGGTTCCGGAGGATACTTTCACTGCCGTCTTTGTGTATGCTGTTGGAGAACTGTGGACTGAGGTTCAGAATTAAAAATGCACGATTTATAAATTAAAATAGCAAGGGAGTGGCCAGCGGTTCGACTGAATAAAGTCGCGAAATCTTATAAATGTTATTTATTGAACACTGTTATTCAACTATGGTTGTTCACTATTGGTTGGTCACTATTTATTTCAAAACACAGATTTAATTAAAATACGCGGCAATATTAAAATTTCTATTGGTATTAAAATTTCTATTCGTATTTTCAAAATATCTATTGGTAATATAAAATATCTATTGGAAGTAACAAATTTCTATTGGTATTTTCAAATATATCTATTGATAATTTCGAATATCTATTGGAAGTAACAAATTTCTATTGGTAGTATCAAAAATATCTATTGGTAGTAGCTGATTTTCTAACACTACTGACTAGCAGCTATTAATCAACTAAAATTAGTTGAATTTAACACTTTTGTAACTGCGAATATCAGCTACCACTTTTTCCGTCTAGCTAACACTTCACTATATGTAACGGCGAAATTTCCGTTACCACTTTTTTCGGCTAGCTAACACTTTTTCACTATATGTAACTGCGAATTTTCAGTTACCACTTTTTTCAGCTAGCTAACACTATTTTACTATATGCAACTGAGAATTTTCAGTTGCCACTTTTTTCGACTATG